TTTTTTAACAATGAACTGAATTTTCTTCTAACGCCGAGTGATATTATTATAGCTGTCGAACTGACCGCTGCTGGACGTTGGTTTATATGGATGAATTATTTCGTGCATTCGATTATGTACACCTACTACGCTATAGTGTCGACTGGCATACGATTACCTAAGCGGCTATCGATGTGAGTCGATTTATCTGCTTTGAAGCTGATGGATAACTTTGTTGATTCTTAGTGGAGGAATACTGTGGAATGCTGGAACTAGAAACTTTTTGGTAGAAAAAGAAAATATTTTTAGGACTGTCACCGCCTTGCAAACAACGCAGATGCTCATTGGTGTTGCGATCTCTGTCTATGTGTTATACCTCAAACTAAATGGCGCGGTAAGTTACGGCCATCTTTTATGACGTTTTGGGGTCTCATTATTTTTGTCCACTTTACATGTTGCATATGCATATTTAGGTGTGTCAACAATCTTTCGATAATCTTGCCATTTGTTTTGCAATCTACGCATCATTCCTCATCTTGTTCTCTAAATTCTTTAATTCGGCCTACCTCGTGAAGAAGAAGCAACAACAACAGCCTAAGCCGGTGAAAACCGACTAAAAATCACGGTTTGCATCATCACATTTCGCATATGCACATACAAAAAATACTATCTACCTATAGCTGTCCAATATCTATTCTGTCAATCAATCGGTGTGTGGTCTGTGAATCCCATGATCTATGTGATCTTTGCATGTCACTTAATTAGTAATTAATTTACCGTATATCTTTAACCTCATTATACACATCAAACTCCATTTTGCGGAGATTGGGTACGTACGTCATTTGTGAGGTGTTTTGATTTTCGTTTATTTTCATTGTTATGAACTATGAATGTACATAAGAGCATGCTGACAAGAATCAATAAAGATGTTGCTGTTGATTTTTCGTTTTGATTTTCATAGGTATGGGTTGAGCATCGAGCAATTGCTTTTCCAAATATGAGGAGAAGCGCATTTAGACACTGGCAAAAATTGCTTTATACCGCGACATAACTCCACAGCGACTAAGCCTTGCATCAGATCCTCATTTGGAGTGTGTCCAACTTTAGCAACTCAGATCTAGCGCGATCTCTCCGCGTGGGCTCTGCATCTCCTTCGCGGAAGTGCTTTCTTGTAATTTTCCACCACTTAATCAGCGATGCCTGAGGTGTGGGAAAATTATAACAGAACACGTTCGCGGAATAGATGCGGTATACTTGGGTAATTCGGAAACTTTTCATCGAA